TCTGGTTAGCAGGCAAGTGTCTTAGCCACTATGCTACCAGAGTGAATATAAATCATTAGCCTTTCTGAAACCCCTTGACCCAGGATCATTTCTATCAGTACTTCTTTATCCAAGTGCCCAAAGGTCCCCCGAGTTCCAGAGTGAGCTTTGACAGTGTTATTTATGGTGTTCAGGTAAAAGTCTACCACAGGCCACTTAGGTCTGTCTTGTTTTGACATCTGCTGACCTGGATTAATCTTTGCTGACAAATGTCTTCCAGTTTAAAAAAAAATTAAAAAATCTGAATACATAATCCATCTATTCCTGCGTTGTGCTAGCTGCTTTCATCAGTAGCAGAAACATTGCTCAGGGGCCCAAGTCTGTACTTGTCATATTCTCAATGTCTGTCATTTTGAATCTGTTTAATTTTCCAGTCAAGTCCTCATTTTCTCTCTGATTGTCACAAAAACAATCACACATTTCCCTGTCTGAGATAGAAGTGTTTTCAAAGAGTGTGAGCTTTAGCATCAGTCAATGGTCACTTCCTACACACAATTCATTCCAAAACTAAACCAAACTCACAGCCATTGAGTTGATTCCAACTCATAGTGACCCTTCCTTGGGTTTCACAGGTTGTATCACTACAGAAGTAGATTGCCCAGTCTTCCTTCCATGGAGTGGCTGGTGGGTTTGAACCACCAACCTTCTGGTTAGCAGTCTAATGCCTTAGACACTACACCACCAGAGCTCCTTTATGCCACCAGAGCTAGGCACACCCAAAACACAGAACTCATTGTTGTAGAGTTGATTCTGACTCATAGTGACCCCGTAAGACAGAGCAGAACTGCATCATGGGATTTCCAAGGCTGCACGTTTTTTTTTAATTAACTTTTCATTGTGATTTGGGTGAAAGTTTAGAGAATAAATTGGTTTTCCACTCAACAGTTCATATACATTGTGTTTCCCAACACTGATTACAATCCTTGAAATGTAACAGCACTCTTCTTACTTCCTCCCTGTAAGTGCCATTTCCCTTTGTCCTTTGTTCCTGTCCATTCCTGCCTTCTGAGCCTTACCCCTAGGCAAATGCTGCCATTTCGATCTCCTGTGTTTGGTTCTTCCAAGATGTATATTTCTTCCTGGTCTAAGTGTTCACCTCATAGGCCTGTCTATTGTTTGACTGAAAGGTGAGCAACAGAGTGAGTCCAGCTCTGGGCCTGAAGGGTCTTGGGGGTTCCCCCAGTCTCTATCAGACCAATAAGGTTGATCATTTTATTATTCTGAGATTTGTTCCACATTTTTCTCCGACTGGGTCTTAAAATCTTGTAAGCAGCCATCTACAGTGTGACTATTGGTTTCTCCTTCTCTGGAGCAAAGGCTGTAAATCTTTATGGTAGCAGACTGCCATCTTTCTCCTGTGGATGGCTGGTGGGTTCATATTGCCACCTTTTGGTTTGGCAGCCAAGTGCTTAACCACTGTGCCACCAGGGCTCCTCACTCAACACACAATTCCTAGTAAGTCATTTACCTTCTCTCGGCTTTGCTTTTCCCGTTTCTAAAATGAAAAGGGAATGACAATTTCCTTTAGGCTTTGAAACTCTAAAATCATATCAAATGAGAACATTACATTGCTCAACAAATGCAGAATTTCTTGTATGAAATTACCCTTTGGTCTTGAGAACAATAGATGTTATAATAATTCCATTCATCCACCACTGTCTCCTCACCACCAACCTCCATTAATACTGCCTACCATAGGGGCTAAAGCACTTGACTGCTAACCAGAGGGCTGGCGGTTCAAACCCACCAGCCACTCCTCGGAAGGAAGGTTGGGCAATCCTACTTCCGTAGTGATACTGCCTCGGAAACCCAAGGAGGGGTCACTATGAGTCGGGGCCGACTCGATGGCACATAACAACAACAACAACAACAATACACTAGGTTATTGCTATATATTGAATGAATGAATGGACATTTAGATATCACAGTTAGCTTGCAAATGGCTTTCAAAGCATCATATCCTCTTAACTGGATATTCTCATACAATCTATGAAGAAGCTATCAGTAACTTTACAGATGAAAGACCTTGACTCTGAAGAGTAGGACAGGCCTGGGTCACTTTCCTAGCATGTGAGAGGTTTAGCACATGGATCTGGGTTGCCTAAGAATGTACTTTGGGTTCTCATATTCTTTTTTTAAAGATAATTATGACCCAAGAAAGAATCCGATGTGTTTTATGTTCCTCTATAAACTTAGCTTATGATCATAGTTAAACTCAGATCACACTGATGAGCTTCTGTTACCCCAGTGTGTAGGTGAGGACACAGGGGCTGAGAGAAGCCAGAAATTCATCATAGTGTCATGGAGTTCTTATGAGATGAAGCTGAGGTTTGTTTTGTTTTTTCCATCTCATGTCCATATGACTTCAAATTGTTTATAATATTTAGCACACCTTGGGACCTCTGGTGGGAAGCTGCCAAGAAAGGGTGCTTTTTCACCCAGTGAACAATGCCTTGACCAACCAGTACTTCTGGAAGCGTTTGGGGGAGATGGGGACTCTCTTTTTAAAAAAGACATGAAGAGCAGAGTTGCTTAAGCATTAGGTTTCCAGCTTGTGATCAGAAACAGGAATGTTTTTCTTTTCCTCTGGGTTTCTGTCCTTCATACTCATAAAGAAGCCAAAAAACTCTGGCTGAAGGGACATTTAATATACTAACTTCAGTTAGTTTAATAACTAAAGCAATCAATTGAGAGCTGGCTATGGAGGGCTCAACCGAGCTTTGATCTGCACTTCCAAATGAACTAAGGTACACTTTGTTTTTCACTAACTGTGGCAGGAATGAGTTGAAAACCTAGGGGAAATGGGAGAATTGTCCTTCTTGGCTTGGGAAACATGATTGAATGATGCCAATTTGAGCTAAAATTAACTAGATCAAAAGTGTCTCATTGCAAAAGAAGATGAATTTTAAGCCAATAATAAAAGCACTTAGAAATATACCCAGCACATAGTAATCAATTTGAAAACTATTAGTGTGCTCTTAATGTTGTTTTTAATAAAATTACTAGGCACTACTCCACCAGTGGGAAATCTACTTCCATAGAGATATCTTGGAGAACCCCAGAAGGGGTCACTATGAGTTGAAATTGACTCACAGCAGTGAGTTTGGTTTTTGGTTTGGTGACACCACCAGAGCTCCTTTCCCCATGAAAATGCTCCCCATTAAAATGCTTAGCTTACTAACACTGATTATTACTTATTACATTGGAGGCTTTCAAACGATGCCTCTGGAATCCTCTTAAGCTGAGAGGAGGAAAACCAAAAAAAAAAAATAATAAAAAAATACCAAACTCACTAGCCACCAGTCAGATCCAACTCACAGCGATCCCTCCTTGGGTTTCTGAAGCAGTATCAATACAGAAGTAGATTGCCCAACCTTCCTTCCAAGGAGTGGCTGGTGGGTTTGAAGTCAAGTGCCTTAGGCAGTATGCCACCAGAGCTCCTGAAATGAGGAAAGATATGTGAATAAGGTGCTAAGGAAATATTGCTTTATCTTCCCCCACAACCAGTGCAATTTCAGCAGGAGAAACTCTCCTTTTTGTCTGTTTTATATATTCTTTTTCTTTATGAATTTTATTTGCCAAAAAAAAAAAGGTTGGTATCATTGGTTCAGTTAAATGCATACATTTTAAGTAAAACTTATTAATTATTAATTAATTAATCCATAAGTGATGGTTCTTGCATGAGGTGGATATAAAAAAAAAAATAAGTGGAGCCTACCCTACAACACGATATTCCTCTATTTATGAAAATAGTTGGATTTCTACTTTCAATTGGAAAAAAAAAACCCATTTATTTGAAGGCATATGTCCTCATATCGAGGAATGCAAGACAGGTCCTTTTCCTCAATGAAGCTGCTCCTCAGTGACATTAAGGCCACTATGTGATACCGCCTCGGCTACCCAAGAAGGGGCCGCTATGAGTCGGGTGCTGACTCAATGGCACATAACAACAACACAACAACAACATGAAACTGTTACTTATGCCACTGGCATATAAGACTGAGCTCTGAAAAGAGACTCAGCCACTCAGGGCTGCATTATGACTTTGATTGGCCCTGGGCACTTTTGTTTTTCTTGGCACTTTCCTCCATAAACAAAATATAAAAGCTATGTTTTACAACTGTGCTGGTATAAGGACAAATATATTAAGACTATGTACTGAAATGCAAACATTTACTTTTTGCTCTTATTTTTAAATAAATTAAAACAGTTTCATGACCTCTTAACTGTATTATTAATCACTGTGCCTACTATTTCCAGTCAAGTTGGTCCTGCAGCCATAGGTCAAGAATTTAAATATACATAAGATCATGTCAGGGAATATAAATGACTGAAACTAACTGAGAAAAACTTGTTAATTAACAACGACTATTTGCCTCCAGTAACAAGCAAGCAAGAGAAAGAGGAGAGCTCTCCATAGATGGAAAGGCATGCCTCTGAGTCAATGGCCAGCTGTAACTGATCTCCATATGGAAATGGGTCCGATATTTTCAATTATTCTAATTTATTTGAAGAGAAGCTGGAAATTTAGATTTTTGTATCATATTTCCTACTTTTAACATGATCTCTAATTCAAATTTAAAACACAGTGTAGGCCCTCACTTCCAAACATAACACCTCTGCCTGCAAGACCCGGTTGTGGGGCACTGATGTGCAGCATCAGGGTTTTAAGCATCAGAACTAGTAGCTATAGCAATAAACTTACTTGGGAGCCAAAGGTCCTATAAACAAACGTGTTGTCTTTGAACCCCAGAAAACCCTCATGTTGAGGATTCCTGCTATAGTGGTCTGTGTTTATAGGAAAAAACTTGTCCCAGAAAAATTTTCTTGTGTTAAAACACAGGAATATAGTTAACACAGAAAACAATGCTTTAAAAAATGCTGTTCTTCCAGATTGCTGTATTAACAAACTCCTTTTCTATCATCCATAGAGTGCCTACTGGAGAAAGAGCGTGCATACCATGGAGAGGACCAATGACTCCATGTTGACAGAATTTGTCCTGGTGGGGCTCTCCGCCCACCCCAAACTCCAAACAGTGTTCTTTGTGCTCGTTTTATGGATGTACTTGCTGATCCTGCTGGGAAACGGAGTCCTCATCTCAGTAATTATCTGTGACTCTCACCTGCACACACCCATGTATTTCTTCCTCTGCAATCTTTCTTTCTTGGACGTTTGCTACACAAGTTCCTCTGTCCCATTAATTCTTGACAGTTTCCTGACAGTAAGGAAAACCATTTCCTTTTCAGGGTGCATGGTGCAAATGTTTCTCTCCTTTGCCATGGGGGCCACAGAGTGTGTGCTTCTAGGCATGATGGCACTTGATCGCTATGTGGCCATCTGCTACCCACTCAGATACCCCGTCATTATGAGCAAGGGTTCTTATGTGCCCATGGCAGTTGGGTCCTGGGTCACTGGGCTCACTGACTCAGTGGTGCAGACGTCTCTCACAATACAGTTACCATTCTGTGCTAATAACGTTGTTAGCCATTTTGTCTGTGAAATTCTGGCTATCCTGAAACTGGCCTGCACTGACATTTCAATCAATGTGATCAGCATGGCCGGGTCAAATCTGATTGTTCTGGCTATTCCATTCCTAGTCATTTCCA